GGGTTGGGGTGTGGGTGTCAGGGTCTTTATTCCCATCCCATTCCCCGACTGCCATTTGGGGAGGGGTTCCTGAAGAAGGGCGGGCCACCATGTGCAGTCCTGGGCTGTGAGTGGACTTGGGGCTTGGATGGTTGCCGGGGGCGGGGCTGGCTCTCCATCCTCCCTGGTGCTGCTTGGTCTCCTGAGATGTGGCTCTTGGTTCCTGTGGGTGGCCCCCTGGCCGGGGTGGCTTCCGGTTTCCGGGAGGTGATCAGCCGTGGGGGTGCACTTGACCTCACTGATTGAGGTCAACAGCATCGTACCTTCACTGAACACAGAGTTAGTGAAGTGCTGCCTTCTCCACTTCAGCCACCAGATGGTTTGTCAGAATCTCCTTGGAGCTGAATAAGAGTCTTTATCCAAAGCCTCACTCAACTCCTCCTACATGAAAGCTTTAGGCTCAGCAACATCCAGAGCTGCGGCCCGCTTCGCAATACTCCTCAATTGCCTCCAAAGTCCTACCAGCCAACAAAGCCCAATAGGACACTTTTTTCAGTTTGACAGCCTCCTTAACCAGGGGTGTACCCCTGCCGAGCTCAAGAATGGCTATCGTGGGCAGCAACGACCACCATTTGGCCAAAGCTCAAGGCAGCCACCTTAACAAATGAGACACAGAACATGGCCCACTTGGACTGAAAGTCCACCACATCAGCTGGAATGTAGTTAAAACTCTCTTGGGGGTGTGAATTGAAAATCACAGGGGTGGTTGTGGCAGAGTGGTTTGGGGAGTAATCCTGTAACCAGCATCCCGCCGGTTCATTCCCCCATTTATATGTTGTGTCCTTGGTCAGACGGCCAGGGGACACTTGTGTGTGGCAGCCTCGCCTCTGTCAGTCTACCCCAGGACAGATCTGGTTACAGTATAGCTTACCACCATAAGTGTGTGAATGTGTATATTGATAGGGGAACTTCTGTAGTGTAAAGCACTTTGGAGTCTGTAGGGACTTGATAAAACATTAAGTTCAGAACATTTACCATCTATCTGATGGGTTATTTTGCCAGGCATTCCCAGCAAATCCTCACTACATGTTTGGGTCCAAAAGGTCTGTCAGATCAGATGACAATACAGTCTATCATTGATCTACAACCTAGGGTGTCCAGGTGCCACATGCACTTATGGTAAATGGTATATAGCTTGATCACATACAGTGCCTTTTCAATTCTCATCAGACTCCAAAGCACTTTACACTTCAATCATTCACCCATTCATACAATGATGGTGATGAGCTACAACCACCTTTAGGCGAGATGAAGTGTCTTGCCCATGGACACAACCACTGAGAAAGATGGAACTGGGATCAAACTGGCAACACACCGATTACATGATGACTCTCCTAGCCACTCAGCCACAGTTGCCCCATAATGCTTATGGACGCCCTTATGTTTGATCAAAGTATTTGTCATGGTCAAACTGTGACTAGCACAGAAGTCCAACAACAGAATACAGCTCAGGTTCAGATTGGAGAGGCTGTTCCTTACAATCATGTACCTCTAGGTTTCACTGTTGTTACCCATGTGAGCACTGAAGTCTCCCAACAGAATAAAAAGTCCTCAGCTAGAGCACCTTCCAGAACCCCTGCTAAGGACTCTAAGAAGGCTGGATACTCTGAACAGCCATTCAGCACATAGGTACAAATGAGTATCAGAACCAGTCCCCCCACCTGATGGTACAAGACAGCTACTCTCTCATCTACTGGGGAAAACTCCAAAACATAGTCACTAAGTTGGAAGGTTACAGGTAGACCCACACCAGCATGGTGCCTCTTACCATAGGAAACTCCAGAGTAGAATAAGGTACTGCCTATCTCAAGGAGATTGGTTCTGGAGCACATGCTGTTTGTCAAAATGAGCATAACTTTATCTAGTTGGTACCTCTCAATTTCACACAACAACTTGGGCTTCTTTCCCACCAGACAGCTCACCTATTCATGTTAAATGCATAAAAATATGTTTTAATTGGATGTCTTTTAACTTTCTATCAACTTTTGTGTACCTTGTTTTTACAAAAGTATTAAAAACAATTTTTTTAATTTATGTTTTATTTTTGTGTTTGCAGTTGCATCTGTAACAACTGAAGCCCCTACCTCAAATGCTACAGTTTCTGGAAATACAACTACAACAACCACACCTAACAGTGCAGCAAATTCAACATTAGGTGTTACAGCTATGACACCTGAAAGTGCAACCACTAATGCTGCCAATGTTACTACTAATGCAATCAGTCAAGCAACCAATGCTTCGACCACAGCTTCATCTGCCACAAATACAGCAACCAATGCTTCACCCACATCTTCATCTGCTACAAATACAGCAACCAACGCTTCAATCACAGCTTCATCTGCAACAAATGTAGTTCCCACTGCAGTAACAACCAAACCAGGTGCAACAGCAACAACCACCACCACTACAACAACTACTGCTGAGGCAATAACAATAAGGCAACTGAGGTTTAGGTCTGCTGGAGAGACGTACTCAACTGATTTGGGGAGTCCATCATCTACAGCATTCATAAATCGAGCTGCGCTTATAAAGTCAGAGGTATGTCTGTTTTCTGTATGCTAACAGTAGCCAAACATTTGCATGACGTAAAAGATGTGGAGCAGAACCATACTTATATCAGAGTATTCATTTTCTTTGCAGACACAATCTTTTTGCTGCAGTGTTTTGAAGCACACGTATTTAAAAAATGCCTATTTTCATTTTTTTCTGCAGCTCGAGCCATACTACCGACGACCATTTACTACATTCCGCTCTTTGAATGTGATTTCATTCAGGTAATTTGTTACTGCATGCTGATAATATTTCAAGATTACTGATCATGAATTTGTACTGACATAATGGACTTTTTTTTTTCGTTTTTACAGTAA